AAATCTCCCATGGTGAACGAGTGAAAAACGTCAAAACCCGCATGTCAAAAAAAAATCGGGACCAACGGTGTGTGACGTCATAGGATAAAAAAGTGTTTATAACTCGGAAACGGTGCGTTGAATCGAAAAAATAATTGAAAAATGTCAACCCCTCCCTCCCGGGTTCTGTATGTTCCTTCTGCGTTGAATGCAAAAGGTCCCAAATCCGTATGTCGAAAATAAATTCTGGTAACAAAAGGTATGTCGTGTTATAGTAAAAAGGCCGTATAACTCGGAAACGGTGCGTTAAATCGAAAAAATAATTGAAAAAATCTCCCCACACTCCTTGTTCTGTATGACAGTTCTGCGTTGAATGGAAAAGGTCCGAACTCCGTATGTGGAAAATAAATTTCGGAAAGTAGAGGTGTGTGAGGTGATACAGTAAAAAAGGTCCTATAATTCGGAAACGGTGCGTTGAATTGAAAAAATAATTAAAAAAATCTCCCCACTACTCTGATTCTGATTGTTCTGCGTTGAATGGAAACGGTCCGAAGTCAGTATGTCGAAAAACAAAAAAGTTAGTTAGTTAAAAATTGCAACAGCAGTAGCGAACGCATTATCTTATCTCTGTATTGATTGATGATTTGTTGTTTTTTTTTAAATAAATTTCGTATTCAACTACTCCTTGAGGTTCCACCAATCTTACATTGTGTTAATTTTTTTGAACACCTTGTGTCACAAATATGAGCACTACCAATGACATCCATGATATGCAACACTTGTGTAAATATTTATTTTATCTATCTAAAGAAATCAACAGTAAGAGGCAGTACCCATCTAAGGATACACAACCTGTATAATGCAATTTTTTTAAACATAGGTGTTAACATCGTACCATATTGGAAGTCGGCGCACAAATCTAAAAACATTAATTTCGAGTTTTTGAATTTTCCCATTCCAAGGTGATATAAAATAAATAATTAATTAGNAACATATAAACAAGACTTTGGTAATGTTGCCAGGCGTACTCTCGGTGATTTAGGCCACTCGCCTGCGGCTCGTGGCCGTAAACTTCACCTCGTGAATAATACCCATCATTATACGCTCGTTGAATAATATACTATTATCTTTTATGTGGGTTACATTATTCACTAGTATACTTTCATCCAAAATATTATCTTGAGATATTTACAGGCATAATTAAATGAGAAAGGTGTACAGAGCAATAAAAAAAATATGTTACTGTTATGTTTTATTTGTTTGAAAACCCAATTGGTCCCATTCTCGGCAATCGAATTAAAAAATTGTTAAATAAATAAAAATATTTAAATATAATATAGCCTAAATAGATACAAAAAGGGTGTGGACAACAGAACTGAGTTAAATGAATGATATTTTGTTAATAGAATAAGTTTGTAATTATATAATTATTAAATTGCACGATAAAACATTTCAACTGTCAAAATTGTGACAAAAATTGCCCAATAAAAAAATTTTTAAAATGCGCTCATGTTTCATAATAATGTTAGAAAGAATAATAAAGAACCATTTCATAATGTTAAATATCAATTAAAGGTTCAGGCATGAGCACATTTAAAAAACAT